GTTTTATTTTTTTAAATATTTTCCTCTGTGTTGTGTTGATTTTTTTCTTTTTCTCTTTTGTCTGCCTCTTAAAGCAAGCTCTTTAAAAAAATTTTTTTTAATACTTGTCTGGTGGTAACAAACTCCTTTAGCTTTTTCTTTTTTGGGAGTTTCTTGATTTCTCCTTCAATTTTAAATGACAAACTTGCTTGGTAAAGTAGCCTTGGTTGTAGGTCTTTTCTTTTCATCACTGAATATTTTATGCCAAGCCCTTCTGGCCTGAAGTGTTTCTATTGAGAAATAAGTTGAAAGTCTTATGGGAGCTCCCTTGTAGGTAACGGACTGCTTTTCTATTATTGCAGCGTTTAAGATGTTTCTTTTTTTTTAACTTTTGGTATTTTAATTATGCTGTGTCTTGGTATGGGACTCTTTGGGTTCATCTTGTTTGGGACTCTCTGTGGTTCCTAGACTTGTATGTCTTTTTCCTTCACCATGTTAGGGAGATGCTCAGACATTTTTTTTCTTAAAATATGTTCTTGATCCCTTGCTCTTTCTCTTCTCCTGGTACTTATATCATTTGGATGTTGTTACACATTATGTTATCTCTAAGGTCTCTAAAATTGTCATTTTTTTTCCCTGCTCTGATTTGGGTGTTATTTTCTGCTTTGATTTCCAAATTACTGATTCGATCCTCTGTTTCATCAAGCCTGCTGCTTATTTTTTCTAGGGTATTCTTTGTTTCATAAATGGCATTTTGCATTTCTGATTGGTCCTTTTTATGGTTTCTATGTCCTATTTTAAGTTGTTACGTATACTTATAATCATTACTCTGAATTCTGTATCTGATAAATTGATTACTTCCACTTCATTTAGCTCTTCTGAAGAATTCTCTTCTACCTTCATTTGGGGCCTGTTTCTTTGTCTCTCATTTTGGCTACCTGTTTGTATTTGTTTCTATGTATTAGGTAGATCTGTTACAACTCACAGTCTTGATAGGGTGACTTTATGTAGTAGGTGACCTGTGGAACCCAGTGGCACAATCTCCCTGATCACCAGAACTGAGTGCTCTAATAATAATGTCCCTGTACACATTGTGTGGGACCCTCCTATTGAAATTGAGTCTTGATTGCTGTCGGCCCATTAGTGCATGGGCTTGACACTCAAGTTGGCTAACAGTGAGGCTTAATACTTAACACAGCATGCAGGCTACTGTGCAGGTGCTGATGACACAAAACAGAATTTGCCTCAGCAGAGTTTGGTGCCTGCCAATATCTCCCTGGGGATATTCTGCTTGTGACATTTACTGAACCCTGCTCTGGTGTTTTCTGAAGTTTGCCACTGGGTATATTGGTTCTGGGCCTCTTTTGAAGGACAGTAGTACAGGCCAATGTCATACACTGTCTGTAATTGGCACTGAGTAACCTTTTTATGGTTATTTGTGATCCAAAGCTCATGGATCCTTCTGCTGGGGCTGGGTACATGGGGAAAGGACAAAGCTGTGCACCAAGTGCTGATTTTCCTAGCCCTGGGCCCATGAGCAGGTCAGGCAAAGACTCAAAGTACCCAGCAATCCATCTCTGCCTGCAGACTGTCTGATAGTCTCAGTCACTTTGTGAACCTCTGGCTGCAGTCCTCAGTAGGGCATAAACTCCAGAGGGTTGGGTGAGAGGGATTTCAATGGGTAGAGATATTGCTTCCCCCCTGGCTAATGCTGCATGGATAAAAATATGTTTGCCTGAGAAAGATGGCTTCTGCAGTATGGGGGAATTTCTCAGCACAGGATCCAGATGGCTGTCCTCTCAACTCTCTCCCCAGAGCCATCAACCTTAGACTCTCCTTACACAGCTTTAGTCTACTCTGTTCTCCCTGTGCTGGAATCTAAGATGAGTGGCTGCAAACAAAATTTTGTGTGTTGGCCCTTTAAGAGGATGCCTGGATTTCTAGCTGTTTTTCCCTGATGGACAAAAATCCTGTTGCTTTTCACAGTAAGATGTTATGGTGGGCACCTTTCCTGGTTCTGGTGCTATGGGCTGGGGAACGCAGTTTGGAATTTAGACCCCTGACTTCTCAGGGGGAACCCCCTGCAGCTGAGTTTGGCTCCAGAAATTCAGCTGCTGCCTATGGAGTTCTGGCTAGCTCTCTTGTACCTCTGCACTTCCTGCCAGTCTTGGTGTGGCCTCCTCTTTAAGTCCTTCTTTATAAGGCTTCTCTCCAGCTAGTTTTCAGTTGGTTATTCAGATGATTTTTCTTTATTTTAGTTGTAATTCCAGTTTGGTCCTGGGAGAAGGTCAGTGTAGCTTCCACCTAATCTACCACCATTTTGGAGCCCCTCCATGTGTAACTTTGACTCACTCAAAACTTAACTACTAAGTTTGCCTGGAAGACTTGTGAAAACATAAATGGTCAATTAACACATATTTTGTATTTGTGTATGTATTATGTACTGTATTCATTATATGTACATTACATGCACATATTATGTATAGTACATTATATATATATACTAGAGAAAAGAAAATATTATTAAAATAATAAGGAAGAGAAAATGGACTTACAGTATTTATTGAAAAATATCTGCATATAAGTGGACCTGAGCAGTTCAAACCCATGTTGTTCATGGATAAAGCATATGATATACAATTATATTTAAATAATATAACATATATATTATAATTAAATATATGCTATTTGAACAAGGAAACATATTATTTTAATATATAATATATTTTATAATTGCATATTTTAAAATTAGATATTATTATATGTAACTATATATCATCTAATATATTATGTATTATACTATAGTATACATGACATATTTTTATATTATATATTATATATAGTTATATATGTCATTCTAAGGGAGAAATATTTTTCTGTTTCTTAAGAGATAGATACAGTGAATACTTTTTCTACTGGTAATGATTGTGCTAATCTCTCTCAAGACAGTTTCTCTGCTGAACAATTTAAAATCTGGTCTTTGTGAAACCTTAGAAACAAGCCTGTTTAAATATAAGGTAAACACATTCCAAGACTTGCTCAAATTAAAATTCTTTTGTATACTTTTGTAATGCTTGATAAAAAGACTTCATTATTTATGAGATAATGTGTTCAAATATTATCTATTTTATAGAATGAATGGTTATGAAGCTGACATGATACCATTTCAGAAGAACCAGGCAAGTTTATGGTTCATTGACTTCTTGCTTGTTTTTCTGAACATCTGTGAATATCACACATTTCTTGTTAATTTTTTCTAAAGTATGCAAATATCAATGAATGTGCACACCACTGCACTGGAAAAATAACTATACTACTTTTATAATGTACTTGAGCTAAACGACTGAAGGTTTAAGAGCACATAAAAATAACAATAATTTATATGACTTTTAGAAGTGAATTAAATAATTTTGAGTATGAGTCTTCAACAGTCAGTATTATACTGTTTATTCTTCAACAGTCAATATTATAGTTTTCATTCTTCAATGGTCAGTATTATAGTTTTCATATCGACACAGAGCATGATTACTCTAAACTCAGTATTTTCAAATTCATGTGTATAAAGTCATGTAAGCTATACAACTCCATGTCAAATTTACTGGTTGCCAATTTTACACCTGTTTCTTCAGCTGTACCTTTTGATATTTAGAATTTTAAGATTCCTGTAAATTATATTTTATAAATTGCAATGTATTTTCTGCCTTTGTGAAGTGGTGTGTCATTTTATAATTTCTCCATATAAACTGAATGCTTGGACTTTCAATACAGTATTCTAGAAAGCAATAAATTAATGTTATATATATATAAGAGAACTACTGTACACACAACAATATTGAATGAATCGCAAAGAACTTATTTTGAACATAAAAAGCCAGTCACAAAAGATATAGTTAATGTATGATTCCACTTATGTGAAATTCAATAAAAAGTTAACTAATTATGGTGAAGAAATTAGAATAGTGATTACTTCCAGTGTGTCGGGATATTGACCGAAAAAGAGCATGAAATGTTTTATATCTAGAGAGAGGTGTTGGTTACATGCATATACATGTATAAAATTATACCAAGATATACACTTAAGATAAGTGTATCTTACAGGATTTGTTATCCCTCAATAAAAGTATAATGATATATGTATGTATATATACTTACACATATACATATACATAATTATGTATAATTACATTTTTGAGACATAAATACTATAAATTTCTCTAATATATACATACCTACACATTATGTAAACTTCCTAAACAATAACTTTTAACCGAAATTTCATAGTATACATTGTTTTTATCTTTGAAATTAATTTATTTAATCCACAGAACCTAAAGCAGTATGCTTCCACCTATAATTTAGGATCTCAACCTAAGAACACGTGTTTTACTTAAAGAATTCCCATCCTTCCCCCTATGATAGACTACAAAAAATGGTCATAATTTGTTATAATTCCTGCCATCAATAAATGGAGTCTGTTTTCTACTCCTTGAATCTGGACTGGATTTGTAATTTGCTTTGTCCAATAGAATGAGGTAGAAGTCACATTACACTAGTTTTGTGCCTGGGCCTTTAAGAGTTCTGTAATCTTATGTTTGCTCTTTGTGGGATCCTTGCCACTGTCACAATGTGAAAAAGTCCAAATAGCTAGTTGAATAATGAGACATCACATGGAGCCACTCAACCAATCCTCAGATGCCTAGTAGGTGCCCACAGATAAATGAGTTAGCTCAACTGCGATTAATTGAGCCTGTTTGCGATCACCAGAACTACCTAGCTAAGTCCAACACAAATTCACAAACCACATTATCTTGAGCTAAGTAAATGGTCACAATTATAAGTCACTAAGTTTTTGGGTGGTATGCTACAGAGAAAAAGCTAATTAATGCAAATTTATAATAATTTTTACATGAAAGAGTAAATTTTTAGCAAAATACTTCCATCTCTGGGCCAATATTAAACTTATGACTCCATAGTCTATGGTTACTGAGAAATATGAGCATTTGTTAGATAAATATCCTTACCTGAATGGGATTCCGATAGAAAGACTGCTTTCCAGAAGATGGAAATGACATGGCAATAATACGTTCTGGAAGTCAAAATAGTCACTATTACGAATGTCATTATAGATGCCAAACAATATATGAGAATTTACATATAATCAGACTCTTATTTCTCACAGAAAAAAAATCTTTCAGGATCGAGAATGACAGAAAAAATTAAATAACCCTCAGGATAACAAGATAATATAGTAAATTATCCAGTAAAATGACCATTAAACTCCCCTGTGTTTCCAACTCAAGTGGTTCCAGCCATATGTGACAGATCTGTGTTGAGCTATCCCTGTGGTGGAAATTTATTTCTTATTTAAAAATTAAAGAGATAAAAGTCCTGGGCTCCAGTGATGGTGGGAATTCCCAGGATGCTTTCCAGTGTTGCTGACTCAGAAACCTGCTATCTACAAAGCAATGATCTTATTTTCTAGGGTTCTAGAAAAAGAGCAGATTTCTCTAGGCTCCTTTGGACCCAGAATAACTACTAGAATTTCATAAATTCTAAACCAAACAAAGGGTGCCAGCTGAAAATCCATTCAACTTTCTGTACTATAACCAAATAGATCTTATTTGAGATGACAATAAAAAAATTTTCAGGGTTAAACTGCAAATATGTCACACTACCACAGTGGCACACCTCTTCATGATTAAGAATGCTTTGAGCCCTGGCCAGTTTGCCTCAGTGGTTAAGAGCGTCAGCCCACAGACCAGAGAGACCCAGGTTTGGTTCCTACTAAGGGCAGGTACGTCGATTGCAGTTTGTCCCCGGCCCCAGTTGGGGTTGCATGGGTGGCAGCCAGTGTATGTGTCTCTCTCACATCGATATTTTCCTCTCTCTCTTCCTCCCTTTCTCCCTCCTGCTCTATCTGAAGATAAATGCAAAAATGTCCTCAGGTGAGGATAAAAAAAAACAAAGAATGCTTTGAAAAAATATGGCATAGACAAGGCAAGAACAAAATAAACACAAAATTACTTACACACAAGAAAATGTGAAATTAATATAAGTAAATTAACAGTTAAACTTCACAAACCAGTAACATAAGTGAGGTCTAAGTCAAATCCATCTTTCTTGTATCGTCGTTTGTTTCCTGAAACCTGAGCATGTAAAAAGAATCATTAATTTGTAAAACATAAAATAAAGATCATTATATAACCCTTGCCAGTATTTCCTAAAACACAACATTCTTCTGAACCATAAACATGTTTTGTGCACTTACCATCCTTCTGGTCAGCTTTTCAAGATGTCTTTTTTGGTAAGCCAGATGAAAAATTCTCATCAGAATAATAAGTCGTAGAAGTCGAAGTAATACTACCAATCTAACAATAAATTAGAAATATCAATTTTTGCTTCAGAAAGAGGATGTTTGTCAATGTGAACTAAGTCTAGAACAGTGGTTCTTAACCAGAGATAATTTTGCACCTCCTACTCCAAGCTTCCTACCCAGCCACCTAGGAAACATTTGACACTGTCTGGAGACAATTTTGGTTGTCACAACTGTGTGTGAGGGGATGCCACTTGCACCTAGTGGGTAGAGGCCAGTCCCCATAACAAAGAACTCTCTGATCCCAAATATTAATAGTGCTGAAGTTAAGAAACTCTGGTTTAGAGAAATAGTTGTATGATAGACACTTAGAATTTGTGGATTTAACTTTTGTGGTTTAAGACGAGTATTTTTCAATCATTTTCTCATCAATACAAACTGAGGGTCCTTGTTCAACTTTGTTACCTCCATCAGTAACAGAGGTTCACTACAGCTGCTAACACATTAGGCAGGCAGCAGGTTAAGATACTTTGCAATGGTCTAGCTGATGTCACACCTACCATCAGAGTGGCAGTGGACTGATTGTTTGAACTAGAGCTTCCCTAGCTTGAGTGCGCACACTGATTCAGTAGGTCTAGAATGGGGCCTGAGGTGTTTTTCTTCTTCCATTTTTAGCAAGATCTTAGGTGATGCTGACCTTGCCAGTCAGCGGACCATTCTGGCTCCAGTTATTTTCTTTTATTTTTATTCTTTTTATATTTATATTTTGTTACAGATATTTCTCCTTTTTTACCCCATTGGCACCCCCCTCCCACCTCACCCCCGCCCCGTCCCCAGCTTAGTTGTCCATGTCCGTTGGTCATGCATACATGCATGTAAGTTTTGTGGTTTATCTCTTCCCACCCTACCCCCCACCCCCTCTTCTGAGGGATGTCAGTCTGTGCCCTACTTCCATGTTTCTGTGTCTACCATATTCCTCAGACTGTTATGTTCATTATATTCCGTATATAAGTGAGATCATGTGGTATTTGCCTTTTTCTGCTTGGCTTATTTCACTTAGGATAATACTTTCCAGGTCCCTCCATGTCGTCTCAAAGGATAAGAGATCTTTCTTTCTTACTGCTGCATAGTACTCCATTGTGTATATGTACCACTGCTTTTTTATCCATTCATCTACTGATGGACACTTGGGCTGTTTCCAGATCTTAGCTATTGTAAATAGTGCAGCTATGAACATGGGGGTACATATATTCTTCCTGATTGGTGTTTCAGGCTTCTTAGGGTATATTCCTAGAAGTGGGATCACTGGGTCAAATGGAAGTTCAATTTTTAATTTTTTGAGGTAACACCATATTGTTTTCCATAGTGGCTGCACCAGTCTGCATTCCCACCAGCGGTGTAGTAGAGTCCCCTTTTCTCCACACCCTCGTCAACTCTTGTTGTTTGATGATTTGTTGATGGCGGCCATTGTGACAGGTGTGAGGTGATACCTCATTGTTGTTTTGATTTGCATCTCTCTGATGATTAGTGATGTTGAGCATTTCTTCATATGTCTCTTGGCCACTTGTATGTCCTGTTTGGAGAGGTGTCTATTCAGCTCCTCTGCCCAATTTTTAATTGGGTTCTTTATCTTCCTTTTGTTGAGTTGTATGAGCACTCTCTATATATTGGAAATTAACCCCTTATCTGATACATCCAGTTATTTTCAAACAACTCTAAAAGCCTATCAAATAATGTCAAGTTTTGTTGGGACTTGACTTGAGGTTCTGGGAAGCTGGAGAGCTGAAAGAAGTAAGCTATTTGATGAAGGAATAAGCCTAGTGAGCCACCCAACATTTACATCCCAGTACATATTTGCTCTTCTTTTCCGTAGGAAGAAGAAGTAGAAAAAAAACCCATCAGTGTCTCATATACATTTTAGTTTACTAATCTCTAACAGTTCCAACTTTGTCTCAGCTTTCTTAATTTTAAATATACTATACTGCAAACTCTACCTCTGTGTTGCTATCCATGTCACCTCATTTTATAAACCATTTGCTGTTTTTTAGAGAATCATCATTGGAGTCACTCAAATTTTTCATATACTCAAATCAATATTCTCTGGTAGAAAAGCATAGGAATTTCAGGTGTAAGAAATCTGTGGTTGAAGCTCAAATTTCAATTTAGTGGGAATTTAAAAATAAGAGGACTCTAGTACACTTCTGGTGGGAATGCAGACTGGTGCAGCCACTATGGAAAACAAAATGGTGTTACCTCAAAAAATTAAAAATTGAACTTCCATTTGACCCAGTGATCCCACTTCTAGGAATATACCCTAAGAAACCTGAAACACCAATCAGGAAGAATATATGTACCCCCATGTTCATAGCAGCACTATTTACAATAGCTAGGATCTGGAAACAGCCCAAGTGTCCATCAGTAGATAAGTGGATAAAAAAAGCAGCGGTACATATACACAATGGAATACTATGCAGCCATAATAAAGAAAGATCTTTTATCCTTTGAGATGACATGAAGGAATCTGGAGAGCATTATGCTAAGCGAAACTAGCCAGTCAGAGAAAGAAAAATAACTCATGATCTCACTTATTTGTGTAATATAATGAACAAAACAAACTCATAAACAAAATAGACCCAGAGACACAGAAGTAAGGTACAGACTGACAAACCTCAGAAGAGGGGAGGTGAGAGATAAACTACAGAACGTATATGAATGTATGCATAACCAATGGACATAGACAACAAAGCTGGGGACAGAGGTGGGGGGTAGAGGGAGAAGGGTGTCAATGGGGTAAAAATAAGAAACATCTGTAACAAAAATAAATTAATAAAAATAATTTTAAAAAATATGGAGAAGTCGAAGTCAGCACAAGAGGCAAAGTTTTTTTTTTGGGTGTTCCATCTTCTTCCTTCAATTAAAGGTACTTAGTGTGTACACCCTTCACTGGACCCATCAATCCTTTGATTTCCAGGTATGTGGGAATTATCTAAACATTCATTTTCAAGCAACTTATCTGGCACAGATTAGGGCATTTGAAGTTAAAAACATTACATAGAATGAAAGGCACAGAAAATTAATAAAGAAAAGAAAATCTGTAAGAGAGGTGAATCATATGTTTCTTACCTAGGGATGTCTTTAAATATCTCTGAGTCATAAAAAATATAAGTGAAATCAATTACTACAGTCACCACAATAATGAAAGCATCTATGGAATTAATTATATCAGAAAAATATGGTCGTATCCTGTAATATAAAACAAAAATTACAAGTTTATGCCTCCCAAAGAAGAGATGGGAATATTTTTAAGAACATAAATTATTTGACTGATCCCCATTAAGCATTCTACATTAATAAATTTAAAATTTATTTTCTAAACTAGACTAAGGAAACAATATTCATACACACACACACACACACACACACACACACACACACACACACACAAAAGCATCAACCTGGCAATTTATGTGCAGGATGAGATATAACCAAACCATTAAACAAGTGGAAAGTATTGCCTTCACATAGGCGCAAGGGAGAGGTAAGATGTTTGGCAGTACTGTTGGGCAGTGGAAGCTGAACATGACAGTTTTAGAGCAACCAAGGCAGTGAAGAATATACAACAGGAGCTTGTGAGAGGAAGAAGGGTCCACTACTTTGTCCTGCAAACTTATTGCCTGGCTTTGCACCCACAGTGAAATTCTTAACCAAAGTTGAACTTCTATTCACTGAACTTTCCTGCCCAATACTGGCTCCTTTAGCCATTGCCACTGGTGCTTTAGGGAAAACTTCATCCAATTCTGGGTAGCCTTTTCAGCTTCTGAGTAACCAGGGAGCAGGCAACTGTCCTTAACTCCAAGGCATGAGGATAGTTCAGAAGGAAAGGAGACAGGCTGGATGAAATGAGGCTGGGGAATTTAGCCCCTGACTCCCACAGCAATCCAGCTCCAAGGCTTGACTCACTCCAGCAAGTAAAGTCAGCTGCTGCCTCAGTATCAAGACTCACTGATTCGATGACCATGCCTCAGATCTCCTGTGAACCTTGAAAAAGTTTTTTATTTTAACTGAGCTAGGGGTTTGTCCATTGTCTATTATCTAGAATTTAATATACTGTCAGCTTCTATTTAGGTTCAGTTATTAATGAAATATTAATATTTATACAAACACTTCACATACCTATTTCTCTTAGTAATTTGCCTGTAGACACATTCCTGTTTGGTCCTATTTTGCAAACCCTAAAGGCGTTTTACCTGTTGAAGAAATCATCTACATTGTCAGAGACTAGAGTGCCACTTGCAACAATAATGTTAAAGCCCAATTTAGTATAAATTGGGATTTGGATTGTTGTTTCTCTTGTGGACTATGCCTTCTAGGAGAATTATCTTCATAAAGAGGGACATATTTGATTGGATTGACCTGGCTATTAGTTGGGGATGCTTTTCAAAGCAGTACAAAATAGCTTTATGTGCTTGTAGAAAAATTAAAAACTTACCCTTCTACAGATACTCGAAGAAGAACATCCATGAAAAAAAATAAAGCAATAGATAAAGAAATTGAACGATATTCCAAAGGAATATACATGGTGTGATCAGTGGCAAATAGGTCTGCAATGACGAGGGACACATCCACAAAGACCAAAAAAATTCCAAATATTCTACAACAAATAAATAAATAAATATATTAAAAATGAAGTGGTTTTCACCTCATAGTATACATTTAGACAATAGTCTGATAAGAAAATGTCATCATTAAACCACACAGTGGTAGTTGAGCTGCATTGCCTTAAAATCTAAAAATATGTTACTCAGGTTTCTCCCAGTGGAAACAGTTGTTAAGGAAACAAAATTCCCAGCTAACTACCTCATGTTATCATGTCCTTTCATCATAGACGCATTGGACCAACACTCCAAAATAGAACTGGTCAACTGAATTAAAATTACATGCATCTGCTTGTAAACTCTTCTTAAAATTTGAGAATCTTATAAGGGGCTTCTACTAATTTTGTATACTAATTAAAACTTAATTAATCTTGATAACCTTAAACAAGCAAAATCATGACTAGTACAAGCCCTTAAAAGACAGCTTTGGCCAATAACAATTTTTTATCAGTGAGATTTTATGTATTAATGGAAGTTTTTAGAACATTAGAAGAAATTCAATTTCATAAATACATACATAATTAAATACTAAATTATCTCCTAAACTTTTCTCTTACATATTTTATTTATTTTCTATTTTTTATTTCTGTTTTGTTCTTTTTATTTATTAATTTATTGGGGTGGCATTGGCTAATGAAATATATAGATTTCAGGTGTACAGTTCTGAAATAGATCATCTGTATATTATATTGTGTGTTCACCACCCCAAGTCGTCACCTTCCATCACCATTTATGCCCTTTTACCCTCTTCTATTTCCTCCCACCCCCTTCTTCCTCTGGTAATAACCATACTATTGTCTGTGTCAATAGTTGTTTTTGTTTTGCTTTATTTCTTCACCTTTTCCACTCAGCCTCCCAATTTTCCTGTCCTCTGACAACTGTGTCTGTTCTGTGTAACCATGCCTCTGTTTCTATTTTGTTCATTAGATTTCACATACAAGTGAAATCATATGGTATTTGCCTTTCTCTGACAAATGAGTGGATAAAAAGGCTGTGGTACATTGACACATTAGAATACTACTCAGCCATAAAAGAGAAGGAAATCTTACCTTTTGTAACAACATGGATGGACCCAGAGTGTATCTTGGGCTGCTTTGAAATCTTGGCTATTGTAAATAACACTTCAATGAACATAAGGGTACATATATTCTTTTGAATTAGTGTTTTGGGTTTCTTTAAATATATTCCAAGAAATGGAATCACTGGGTCATAAGACAGTTCCATTTGTAATTTTTTGAGGTAACTCCGTACTGATTCCCACAGTGGCTGTATGAATCTTCTTCCCAACAACAGTACACAAGAGTTACCTTTTCTCCATGTCCTCGACAACACTTGTTTGTTGATTTATTTCTGACAGGTATGAGGTGACATCTCATTGTGGTTTTAATTTGCATTTCTTTCATAATTAGTGACACTGAGCATCTTTTCATATGTCTGTTGGCCATCTGCATGTCCTCTTTAAAGAAGTGTCTATTCAGGTTCTTTGCCCATGTTTTAATTGGATTGTTAGCTTTTTTGGAGTTTTACGTTCTTTACAAATTTTGGATATTAACCCCTTATTAGATATGTCATTGGAAAATATGTTCTCCCATTCAGTCAGTTGTCTTTTCATTTTGTTGATGGTTTCCATTGCTGTTCAAAAACTTTTTAGTTTGATGTAGTCCCATTTGTTAAATTTTTCTATTGTTTCCATTGCCCAAAGACATATATCAGAAAAAATATCGCTATGAGAAATGTCTGAGATTTTACTACCTATGTTTTCTTCTAGGATTTTTATGTTTCCAAGTATAACATTTAAGTCTTTAATCCATTTTGAGTTTATTCGTGTGTATGGTATAAGAAGACTTATTTCGTGTGTATGGTATAAAAAGATTTATTTAGCTTATTTCTGATCTTAGTTTAGTTTCATTTTTTTTTTGCACGTATCTGTCAAATTTTTCTAACACTGTTTACCTCATTGTATGTTTTTGCCTATTTTGTCAAATGTTAATTAACAGTAAAGGCATGGGCTTATTTCTGGGCTTTCTATTATGTTCCATTGATCTATATATCTGTTTTTATGCCAGTACCATGCTGTTTTCATTACTATGGTCTTATAGTACATTTTGATATTAGGTAGTGTGAGTCCTCCAACATTGTTCTTTCTCAAGATTGCTGTAGCTATTTGGGGTCTTTTGTGGTTCCATATAAATTTTTGGAATATTCTGTCAAATAAGCCATTGGCATCTTGATAGGAATTGTGTTGAATCCATAGATTGCTTTGGGTAGTATGTACATTTTAATTATGTTAATTCTTTTTTACCATTAACACAGTATATGCTTCCAATTATTTGTATCTTTTTTAGTTTCTTTCTTCAGTGTCTTATATTTTCCAACTACAGGTCTTTTACATACTTGGTTAAATTTATTCCTAAGTATCTTATTCTTTTTGATGCATCTATGAATGGTATTGATTTCTTAGTTTTCCTTTTTGATAATTTGTCATTGGTGTAAAAAAAAATAAAAATGCAACTGATTTCTGGATTTTTTTTTTTATCCTGCTACTTTACTGAATCCTTTTATCAATTTTAATAGATTCTTGGTAGATTCTTTAGGGTTCTTTATATGCAGTATTATGTCATTAGCAAATAATGACAGTTTACTTCTTCCTTTCCAATTTGGATGCCTTTTATTTCTTCTTCTTGTCTGATAGCTGTGTCTTGAACTTCTAGTACTATGTTGAATAACAGAGATGAAAGTGGATATCCCTGTCTTGTTCCCAATCTTAAGGAAAGTGCTTGTAGTTTTAGTCCATTGAGTATGTTGATGGCTGTGTGTTTGTCATATATGGCATTAATTATGTTGAGGTATGTTCCCTCTATTCCTACTTTATCATAAATGGGTGCTGGATTTTATCAAATGCTTTTTCTGCATCTATTAATATGATCAGGTGATTTTTATCTTTCATTTGTTTATGTGATGTATCACATTTACTAATTTGTGTATATTGTACCAACCTTGCATCCTCAGAATAAATCATAATGTACAATCTTTTTAATGTATTCCTGGGTCCGGTTTGCTAATATTTTGTTAAGGATTTTAGCATATATGTTCATTAGAGACTTTGGCCTATAATTTTCTTTCTTTGTAATGTCTTATCTACTTTTGGAATAAGGATAATGCTGGGCTTGTGAAAAGAGCCTGGAAGTCTTCCCTCTTGAATTTTTTTGGCGTAGTTTGAGGAGGATAGGTGTTAGTTTGTCTTTGACTGTTTGGTAAAATTCACCTGTTAAGCCATCTGGTCCAGGACTTCTGTTTGTTGGACATTTCTTTTATTACTGTTTCCATTCCATTCATTGTAATCTGTCCATTCAGATTTAATGATTCTATCTGATTCAGTTTTTAAAAATTGTTTTCTTTTTAAAATTTAATTTTTTTCTATTACCATTTATCCCCTCTATCCTGCTGCTTTACCCTCTTCCACCTCCACCCACCCACACCCCACCTTACAATCACTCTATTGTCCATGTCTATGAGTTATCACTCTTTTTCCTTTTTGCTCAATCTACCCCCCCACCCCACCCCCCACCGAGATGTCTGACTGCTCTCTATGGGTCTGCCTCTATTTTGTTTGGTAGTGTAGTTTGTTTATTAAATTCCACTCGAGTCAATTCATATGGTACTTGTCTTTCTCTCTGGCTTATTTCATTTAGCATAATGTTCTCCAGCTCCATCCATGCTGTCGCAAAGGGTAACATTATCTTCCTTTTTATAGCAGAGAAGTATTCTACTGTGTAAATCTACCACAGCTCTTTTATCTACTCATCTACTGATGGACACTTGAGCTGCTTTGAAATCTTGGCTATTTCATGTAATGCTGCAATAAACATGGGGTACATATATTCTTTCAAATTAGTGTTTTAGAGTATTTTTTTTGAGAAATTCTAAGACAGGGAATCAGTGAGTCATAAGACAGTTTTTTTAATTTTTGGAGGTAACTCCATTCTGCTTTCCACAGTGGCTGCACCAATCTGCACTTCCACCAATAGTACACAAGGGTTCCCTTTTCTCCACATCCTTGTTTATTGAGTTATTTATGATAGCTGTTCTGACAGATGTGAAATTATATCTCATTGTGGTTTTAATTTGCATTCTTCTGTTGATTGAGCATCTTTGATTGATGTTGAGCATCTTTTGATATGTCTATTGGTATTCTGTATATCCTCTTTGGGGAAGTGTCTATTCAGGTCTTTTGCCCATTTTAGACTTTTTCTTTTTTGCCTGGCCAGTGTGACTCAGTGATTGATCATTGTCCCATAAACTGAGAGGTTCCAGTTTGATTCCAAGTCAGGACACATGCCCAGGTTTTGTGTTCAGTCCCCAGTGGAGGGAGGGGGCAGTTGATCAATGTTTCTCTCTCACATTGATATTTATATCTTTCTCTCCTTTGCTATCTCTCAAAAAATATATATATTAAAAATAAATAAATAAATAAATAAATAAATAAATAAATAAGAGTATTTGGTGTTAATGAAGATTGTATGTTTCCAGAAATTTATCCATTTTATCCAGATTGTTCAATATAGTTGTTCATAATATTTTCTTAGAATCCTTTGTATTTCTGTGGTTTCTGTTGTTAATTCTCCTCTTTTATTTCTGATTTCATTTATTTAGGTCCTCTATTTTTTTTCTTTAAAAAAATTATTTTTTCTTTATTGATTTTTAGAGACAGAGGAAGGGAGAGGAGGAGAGAGATAGAAACATTGATGAAAAAGAAAATTGGCCACTTCCTGAATGCCCCCCTCCACTGGGGATTGGGGCCTCAACCTGGGCATGTGCCCTGACTGAATATTGAACCAGCGACCTCTTGGTGCATGGGTCAATGCTCAACCACTGAGCCAC